AGAGTAGTTCTTGTTAACATTGTTTTATTTCCATTGTTCTTTGACTTTATAAATATTTTTAGCACTTTTTACATTTTTACATATTTTATCACATTTTAGCGTTCACCACATTTTTATCTATTATAACTTGTTTTTACTTATTTATGCTAATTTAGAGAACTTTTATACACTTGAAAACGACCTCGGAGAGGTCGAAACGTCGTGATTTTTTATCGCTAATATTTATCTCAAAATCGATTTTTGGATGTTTAAAGCAAGATTTATCTCGGGATGACATAAGTTATTCTCTTGAAAAATGTTAATATTTAAAAGATCATGCTTTTACAGTATTTCTCTTCTAACATTATTTTACGCACAGAAATGTTCACTACCAGATTTTCACTAAACCCCACTTTTACATTTCCCATAATGCACCTCATTTGCACCCCAAAATTTTGCATAACCTTTGTTTTTCATTTCTCCTGGGTATTACAGCCTTCCCAAGAGAAATAAGGTGCATTATGGGAAATGTGGAAGTGGCGTATGGAAAAAAATTAGTTTCCGCAAACATTAGTTTCTGTAGAAGTATTATTTTGCGATCAGCAACATAAAACTCCCACAAAAGTTTCGTACCAAACGGTATCTTAGTAAAACATTCATTACTTTATATTACTATTCAACTCGATTTCACCGTCTGAGTCAAGCAACAGGGGTAGTTCTAGATATAGCTGCTGGGTCGATAAAGAATATTTTTCTGATTTGCCACTGTTTTTGGCGAGGCGTTAGGTCAAATGGCCGTAGACCGAACTTCCTGACTTGCGTGTTAAGGCAAAGAAAGTCAGTAGTGTTTTTCTTGAATGTTGAAAGTGTCCGATGCTCCTTTTGGACTTTGAGTCTTGCCTTGTATCTTTCGATTGGCCTTTCCTCACCCGTTTGAATAAATACTAACAACAGCTTTCAATACCGACCTGTCATGCTGGCAAACTCACTATAAACACGTTGTGAGCTAAGCGAGCCGAAAGAAACGTTCTTAGGGGCCGACCATTTGACTTTTGAGGGTTGGGGGAAAGGGGGCTATGAGTGATTTGCTTTGGGTAATAATTTGTTTCCCAAACCACCAAAATTTTGCATAAGCATTGTTTTCAGTTTCTCTTGGGGCCATTTTAACTCCCAAGAGAAACTGAAGACAATGCTTATGCAAAATTTTGGGGTGACAAACAAAGAGCATTATGGTATGTTATGGTATTTCTGGAGTCATCAATTGGATAGTGTGGTCATGCACACATGGGCTGGGATGGGATCTTTTTGCAGAAAAATTTTGAGAGAGAGCCTTTGAGTTTAACCATGATTAACTGGTAACAGCAGTTTGTATCGTCCAAACAGGTCTGTAATCTCGTTATCAAACAAATCAGACTCCCGCTAACTGGACTCTACATTACTGATTAAGATCAGGGAAGAGGTGCAACGAGCAGCAAGGAGATAACAGCAGCGACAAAATAAGCTTATTAACATTACAATAACTTAATAATAATAATAATAATAATAATAATAATAATAATAATAATAATAATAATAACAGATATAAACTTAATAATTACGATGAGGATGCTGTATAAAATGATACTTCATTGGTAACTATGTTCCTCATAACACCACCAGGTTACTTGACATAATTTTTGAAGGTTCTTTTACCTGCGTGTCTACATCTCCACCAATCTGGCTTGAAAGCTTATAAAATTCTGCCACTTTGCCGTTTAACACCTACGTGACAGGAAGCAACCAAAAAATTTAAGCTTAACTTTGCAAACTCCGCCAGGAAACTTTGTCGCATTCAACAAAACGTCTTATTATACCTCGTCGTAAGCTGCAACCAACACTCCAACATCTGCAATTCCAACAATATAAATACATAAAAAGATAAGCACGCAAGTTAGAGTAAGGGAAATATCTGAGTCTTAAATATATTGACCCAAGACTTTCCTCTGTTCGCAAAGATTCAATCATACCTTCTGGTGCTCCTCCACTCGCCTTGTCAGCAGCAGACTCCAGACGAGCGGTTACAGCTTCTAGACGAGCAACGAGGGCGCTTAGATCGCCAGACATTCTCAAAAGAAGCTAAATTCACCAAGTACGACACAAACGCCTCCTGTGCTGCAAGGAAACAAGTAAATGAAAGAGGGAGGGGTGAAAAGTACTGACAAAATATCGCCTGAGATTTTCCTTATTTGGTAGCTTTCAGAGCTGGACTCCAGTCCTCTTTCAATCATTCCTGTGATATAAGCTTCAATGAAGTGTCTCACAATTAGGCTCCAAAATTATCCCACTCTTCATTTTTGACGGCTGTTCAAACAGATCGAGGATCTAAATGGGGTAGTGACTTTTACGGTTATCGGCT